TGACCTCATGATCCACCCGCCTCTGACTCCCAAAGTGCTGGGATTACAGGCTTGAGCCACCGCACCCAGCCAACGTACATCTTACATGTATTGATTGATGCCTCCCGTGTTCCTAAAATGTATAAAAGAAAGCTGTGCCCCGACCGCCTTGGGCACATGTCCTGGCATCCTCAACCTTGGCAAAGTAACCAAGGACTGAGACCAGCTTCCCATCCTCTCTTCGTTGCCATCTGAAGCGACAGAAGGACGCTGGCTCCCCATAGTGGCAATCAGGAGAATGGCTTCTTCCATTCAAGACAAAGATTTTTCTTTCAGAGAAATCCCCTGTTGTGCATCATGTGGCTGGCCCGGATCTATGCTCTGCAAATATCCAGAAAAACCGCCTCCGTAATTTATCACATAAGAATTCAGGGTTCAACACCAACACGTGATAAAGAGGGACCTGTGCCGGGCGCGGTGGCTCACTCCAGTAATCCCAGCACTTTGGGAGGCCAAGGCAGGTGGATCACAAGGTCAGGAGTTCGAGACCAGCCTGGCCCACATGGTGAAACCCTGTGTCTACTAAAAATACAAAAATTAGCTGGGCATGGTGGCGCATGCCTGTAATCCCGGCTGCTCAGGAGGCTGAGGCAGGAGAATTGCCTGAACCCAGGAGGCGGAGGTTGTGGTGAGCCGAGATCGCACCATTGCACTCCAGCCTGGGCAACAAGAGTGAGACTCCGTCTCAACAAAAAAAAAAAGAAAGAAAGAAAGAAAAACAGAAAACTGTACAATCTCTTCGTGCCTGCTTTTAAATAATAAGGTACTCGCTGGGCGTGGTGGCTTACGCCTGTAATCCCAGCACTTTAGGAGGCCAAGGCAGGTGGATCACTTGAGGTCAGGAGTTCAAGACCAGCCTCACCAACACAGCAAAGCCCTGACTCTACTAAAAAAATACAAAAATAAGTCGGGGGTGGTGGCTGGTGCCTGAAATCCCAGCTACTCAAGAGACTGAGGCAGTACAATCGCTTGAACCCTGGAGGCTGAGGTTGTAGTGAGTGAGATCGTCCACTGAACTCTAGACTGAAACATCAGCCTCTGACGTTTCAATGTGTGATGAAAAGGTTTTTTGGGACATGGGATTGTTGTGTTATTTGTTGGTTTTTCAGACGGAGTCTGGGGAGTCTCGCTCTGTCACCCAGGCTGGAGTGCAATGCTGTGACCTTGGCCTACCTCAGCCTCCACCTCCCAGGCTCAAGCGATTCTCCTGCCTCAGCCTCCCACCAAGTAGCTGAGACTCTTGTCTCAAAAAAAAAAAAGGAAAATCTCCTTCCCAAACCAGGAACCCACTTCCTCCTTCCAATCCAGAAACTCCCTCCTCAAGGGTAGAAGAAAAAGAAAACAATGTTATCAGGAAACAAGCATTACATTAGAATGTGATACACAACTCAGGCCCTCCGAGACCCATTCACTTTCTGAAACTAAACAATGACTCATTGTAACAGCAGGTAGAGGCTTTGCAATTTGGACTCAGGCGGCAGCTTAAATTAAGCTCTTCTCCCAGGACGCTGGGGAATGAGGCTTTTTGTTTTTACCACCCCCTCGGGATGGATCACATTTCAAAGAGTTTGGTCCCAGACACCGCAGGAAACCTTCCCGAGCTGTGAGGCGGGCGCTGGGGCCTGCTTAAAAAGATTTACATACATTTGAAAAGGACAGAGAAAGAACTTGAAACTGCAAGTTTGTTAGGGAAGAAAAAGAGAAAAAGTGGGAAAGTATCCCTCCCACGTTTTTCAGCAAGAGAAAAGTTACCCCGGCCCTGTGGCTCACACCTATAATCTCAGCACTTTGGGAGGCCGAGGCAAGTGGATCACGAGGTCAAGAGATCGAGACCCGTCTCTACTAAAAAATATACAAAAATTAGCCGGGCATGGTGGTGCACACCTGTAGTCCCAGCTACTCAGGAGGCTGAGGTAGGAGAATTGCTTGAACCCAGGAAGCGGAGGCTGCAGTGAGCCGAGACTGCATCACTGCACCACTGCACTCCAGCATGGGAAATAGTGGATCACCTGAGGTCGGGAGTTCCAGACCAGCCTCACCAACATCAACTGGGTGTGGTGGCACATGCTGGTAATCCCAGCTACTCAGGAGGCTGAGGCAGGAGAATCGCTTGAACCTGGGAGGCAGAGGTTGCAGTGAGCCGAGATGGCGCCATTGCACTCCAGCCTGGGCAACAAGAGTGAGACATTGTCTCAAAAAAAACAAAAACAAAATGCATCTACTATCTTGATAAACTGATCACAAATTTGAAAAGTAGTAAATCCAACCATCATCACCTGGAAACTATCTGTATCTATGTATCTATACACACACTTTCATTATTAAAACATTGCAGTTGGCTGGGTACAGTGGCTCACGCCTATAATCCCAGCACCTTGGGAGGCCAAGGCGGGCAGATCACCTGAGGCTGGGAGTTCGAGACCAGCCTGACCGACGTAGAGAAACCCCAGCAAAAATACAAAATCAGCTGGGCGTGGTGGTGCGTGTCTGTCATCTCAGCTACTCAGGAGGCTGACACAGGAGAATCACTTGAACCCAGGAGGTGGAGGTTGCAGTGAGCTGAGATCAGGCCGTTGCACTCCAGTCTAGACTATAAGAGTGAAACTCCATTAAAAAAAAAAGACATTTACTATCTTGATAAATATCATAAAGTTGAAAAGCTGTACATCAAACCATCATAAGTTGGAAACCATCTGTATCTATGTATGTGTACACACACTTTCATTATTAAAATATTGCAGTTGGCTGGGTGTGGTGGCTCACACAGCACTTTGGGAGGTTGAGGTCGGGAGTTCAAGTCTAGCCCGACCAACATGGTGAAACACTGTTTCTACTAAAAATACAAAATAACATAGCCAGGCATGGTGGCGGGTGCCCGTAATCCCAGCTACTAGGGAAACTGAGGCAAGAGAATTGCTTGAACCCAGGAGGCAGAGGTTAGAGTTAGCCGAGATCACACCACTGTACTACAGCCTGGTGACAGAGCAAAACTTCGTCTAATTAAATATTATGTATACATAATACATATTTCATATTTTATATATATGTTTTACATATTTTATATATTGTATACATTTATACGTTATATAACATATGCATGTATAATATATAAAAACATAGCCATACATGTTACATGACACACATAACATATACATTGCATACACCTTGTCACATATAAAACACACGCCACACATGTTATATGCCACATATAGAAGATACATGTTATACATGCTATGTGTCACGTGTCACATACACATATACATGCTATGTCATATACAACGTATCATACATGCCTTATATGTCACACATGGCATGTATGACATGTCACATGTGACATAATGTGCATTCGTGCCATATATGACATGTATGGTGTGTGTTGTGTGTAAAACATGTAGCACTTATGACACACACGTGCTGTGTGTGGCATGCAACATGTATGTTGTGTGAGACACCTGTATGTGACATGTGTGTCATGTGTGGCATGTGGGTAACCGCATGTGTGGCATGTATGGCATGTATATGTGGCATATGACATATAGTAGGCATGTTACATGTAACATAACATGACGTGTATATGCAGGATAGCATGTGTGGCATGTATGTTATTTGCAGTCATAGGCAACATATAACAAGTATGCCATGTATGTCACATGCGACAGGTATGACATGTGTCATCTGTGGCATATAACATGTATGACGTGTGTTGTGTATGTCCTGTATGTTTTATGTCACATATAACATATGCATGTGTGTATTTGTTACATAGACATGAGCATCACACATGTTATATGTTGCACATGACATGCATGTCATGTGTGACATACACATTATACATGTTATGTGTTACATATAGAATGCATGTTATGTCACATATAGCATAGGCATGCCATACCTGTTATGTGTCAGGTGTCACACATACATCATACATGCCACACATGCTATGTGTTACATATACATGTCTTGTCACTTTTGAAATGGCATCACTACTCCAGGCATGGTGGCTCATGCCTGTAATCCCTGTACTTTGGGAGGCCAAGGCAAGCAGATCACGAGGTCAGGAGATAGAGACCATCCTGGTCAACATGGTGAAACCCTGTCTCTACTAAAAATACAAAAAAATGGCCAGGCATGCTGGTATGCACCTGTAGTCCCAACTGCTCAGGAGGCTGAGGCAGGAGAATTGCTTGAACCCGGGAGGCAGAGGTTCCAGTGAGCAGAAATCATGCCACTGATCTTGATCCTGGGCAACAGAGCAGACTCCGTCAGTAAAAAGAAAGAAGAAATGGCCTCACTAATAAGTCACAGAGCTGTATAAAGCAGCCTGAAAGGCTTATGCTTCATAGATACCCAAAGTTACTACCTCCAACACTGGTGCCAAAGTTCTGCTGTTCAGGGTGAAGCTTCTTCTTTTTTTTGAGACAGAGTTTCACTCTTGTTGCCCAGGCTGTAGTGCAATGGCACAATCTTGGCTCACTGAAACCACCACCTCCCAGGTTCAAGCGATTCTCCTGCCTGAGCCTCCTGAGTGGCTGCGATTACAGCCATGTGCCACCACGCCCAGCTAATTTTTCTATTTTTAGTAGAGATGCAGTTTCACCCTGTTACTCAGGCTGGTCTCGAACTCCTGACCTCGTGTTCCACCTGCCTTGGCCTCCCAGAGTGATGGAATTACAGGCGTGAGTCACCGTGCCCGGCTTCAGGGTGAAGCTTCTAACAGACATGTATCAAGGAGAACACAGGAGCCCCTCCCTCCTTACAGCAACAAGAGGACCAAAACTTTGCCTACAGTCAATGCCAATGCCAAACTCACAATCCCCCCATCAGCCTGGTACTGACTGAAGCCCAGGAAATAATTCACAAAGCAGAGGCAGTCACACCCTGTCCACATAAACCTCCTGTCACTCGTCATGTCACCAAGAAGAAGGCAGTGGAGATACATCTCTTTATTATTATGGCTTGTACACTTCAACGGTTTGAGACCAGCTCGGTCGTGGAGACTCAAACCCAGGTGGCACTGCAGGAATTAAGAAACACACACGAAGACACAGAGAAAAAGTGGCAATCAGAGTGGGATATCAGGGGGCTGACAGCATCTCCCAGCTGACAGCACAGAGCAGACTCTTACCCACGTATTTATGCTTTTGAGAACAGGAGATCATTTTTAATAAGCAGGTGCTCAATGTTCCTTCATAGAATAAAGATAGACTCAACAGGCAAACAGGGCGTGTTCACTAGTAAAATAGAAATAAGCCAGAAAGCACTCTGCCAGTCGCCAACGGGGACAAGATCATGTATCCAGTGTTTCGGGAGTTGGTTTAGCAAGTGCATGACCAGCACATACAGTTCAGTCTTCTAGAACACTCTGAACAGTTTTCTGCCTGGGGACACACGGAGTTTCTTGCCACCATTTCTCAGTAAACAATATACAACCCATCACACGTATGTCAAGACCTTTTCCCAGCAGATGGTCATTTCCGATGACAAGGAAAGTTATTTCCTGGCTACAATGGCATAATAAATCACCCCCGTTTTTTTAAACTGGAAGTCTCTGAAGCCAGCAGAAGACAGGAGCGCATGGTAGTGGCTGGGTGTCCTCTCCTGGCCTTCCGTCTGCACAAGCATGTTCAGAGAGTAGAGCTGCATGAGGAGAGGACCTCACCTGTCTTCATCCAGGAGGCTTTCAATGACTAGAATGCCACCACCTAGAAAGGGACAGGCACAGTCCACATGACACACAAGCGCATGGCAAGCTGTGTGTGATGAGGACTGTGCCCCAGGGACTTCTGGGGTCCACTCATCTTCATGGCCCATGAGGACATGGCACAGCCTGTGTGTGTGTGATGGGAAGAGTGCCCCAGGGACTTCTGAGGTCCACCCGTCTTCATGGTCCATGAGGATGTGTGCACAGCCTCTCTGTGTGTAGGGACAGAGCCCCAGTGACTTCAGAGGTCCACCCATCTTGATGATTCATTAGAATGTGGGCACAGCCACTGTGTATGTGATGGGGACAGAGCCACAGTGACTTCTGAGGTCCACTCATCATGGCCCATGAGGATGTTGGCACAGCCTGTGTGTGTGTGATGGGGACAGTGCCCCAGGGACTTCTGAGGTCCACCCATCTTGATGGTCCGTGAGGACATGGACACAGCCTCTGTGTGTGTGATGGGGACAGTGCCCACCCATCTTGTCAGTCCATGAGGACGTGGACACAGCCTCTGTGTGTGTGATGGGAACAGTGCCCCAGGGACTTCTGAGGTCCACCCATCTTCATGGTCCATGAGGATGTGGACACAGCCACTGTGTGTGTGATGAGGACAGTGCCCCAGGGACTTCTGAGGTCCACCCATCTTCATGGTCCATAAGGACGTGGACCCAGCCTCTGTGTGTGTGATGGGGACAGAGCCACAGTGACTTCTGAAGTCCACCCATCTTCATGGTCCATGAAGATGTGGGCAGCCTCTGTGTGTGTGGGGACAGAGCCCCAGTGACTTCAGAGGTCCACCCATCTTGATGGTTTATTAGGATGTGAGCACAGCCTGTGTGTGTGTGTTGGGGACAGTGCCTCTGTGTCCTGTGAGGTCCACTATTCTGATGATCCATGATGACGTGGGCACAGCTTCCGTGTATGTGATACAGACAGTGCCCTGTGTCCTGTAAGGTCCTTCCATCCTGATGGTCCATGAGGACATGGGCACAGCCTCTGTCTGTGATGGGGACAGAGGACATGGGCACTGCCTCTGTTTGTGTGTGAAAGAGACAGAGGATGTGGGCACTGCCTCAGAGTGTGTGTGAAGGGGACAGAGGACATGGGCACTGCCCCTGTGCATGTGTGAAGGGGACAGAAGACGTGGGCACTGCCACTGTGTGTGTATGAAGGGGACAGAGGACATGGGCACTGCCTCTGTGTGTGAAGAGGACAAAGGAAGTCGGCACTGCCTCTGTGTGTGTGTAATAGGGACAGAGGATGTTGGCACTGCCTCTGTGTGTGTGTGAAGGGGACAGAGGTGGTGGACACTGCCTCTCTCTGTGTGCGAAGGGGACAGAGGTCATGGGCACTGCCTGTGTGTGTGTGATGGGGACAGAGGACATCAGCACTGCCTCTGGATGTGTGTGAAGGGGATAGTGTCTGTGCTGTCTATTCTGTGAGGTCCATACATTCTGATATTCCATGAAGAGCTAGGCACAGCCTCTGAGTGTATGAAGGGGACAGTGCCCCACCTTCCTCTGAGGTCTGGCCATCCTTATGGTCTGTGAAATATAGGAAGGGTCTCATACAGGAGAGACTGATAGGACTGACTGAGGCAGAAAGAGAGACAGAAAGCCTCTTTCTTTCCACATCCTCGTGGACCATCAGAATGGGTGGACCTCACAGGACACAGCGTCCCCATCACACACACAGTGGCTGTGCCCACATTCTAATGAATCATCAAGATGGGTGGACCTCAGAAGTCACTAGGACACTGTCCCCAAAACACACAGACACTGTGCTCACATCCTCATGGGCCATCAGGATGGCTGGACCTCACAGGACACAGGGGACACTGTCCCCATCACGCACACACATGCACACACACACACATGCACACACACACACACACACACACACGACGCTGTGCCCACGTCCTCATGGACCATGAAGATGGGTAGACCTCAGAAGTTACTGGGGAACTGTCCCCAAAACACACAGATGCTGTGCCCACATCCTCATGGACCATCAGGATGGGTGGACCTCACAGGACACGGGGCACTGTTCCCATCACACACACAGAGGCTGTGCGCATGTCCTCATGGACCAACACGATGGGTGGACCTCACAGGACACATGGGCATTGCCCCTATCACTCACACAGAGGCTGTGCCACATTCTCATGGACCATCACGATGGGTGGACCTCACAGGACACGGGGCGCTGTCCCCATCACACACACAGAGGCTGTGCCACGTCCTCATGGACCATCAGGATGGGTGGACCTCAAAGGACACACAGGCATAGTCCCCGTCACACACACAGAGGCTGTGTCACGTTCTCATGGACCATCAGGTTGGGGGGACCTCGGAAGTCAGTGGGGCACTGTTTTCATCACCCAAACAAATACTAGCCTAATTCGGAAAGAATTTCAGCAAAGCGAGACCGTTCTGAGACATTTCACAGAACGTTTCACTTTTTCCATCTTTCTGTGGTTCTCTCAATAGATAGAAATTAGGAGCCTATTTATGGTAGGTCTAAAAAGAAATCTATTGGCAAGACGTCTACGCTTACCCGTGGGACGAGTTCAGTCCCTGCCTTCTAAATATCACTCCTGCAGCTCTGCCCTGAGTCACAGCACATGCTGAAATGCAACCCCACCGCTCACCCGGCTTGCAAGACTGGTAGACCCTCTCCAGCAGCTGTGAGCATTTTCCATCCACCCAGTCGTGGAGGATCCTGGCCAGGATGTACAAGTCTGCTTCCAGAAGACGGTCTTTGAAGAAATCCCCTGGAACATATGGCAGGCACCCCAACGTCAGCCCATAATCCAGCCCCATGTGACTAAACCCAGGTACCAAAGGGCAGCTGCACGGGTCATGCCTTCCCCAGGTCTTCCAGGCTAGTGACCTGCAGAGCAAGTCTTCAAAACCAAAAAGGCTCAGAAGGAAAATCAGAACATACTGAGTGATACGTGTGTCCTCTTTCTCTCCTTCTCCTTTGAAAAATCATGTTATTAGCTGGGCATGGGTGTTCACGCCTGTAATCCCCCATGAGAGGCCAAGGCAAGAGGATAACCTGAGGTCAGCAGTTCGAGACCAGACTGGTCAACGTGGTGAAACCTCGTCTCTACTAAAAACACAAAAATTAGCTGGACGTGGTGACAGACGCCTGTAATCCCGGCTACTCGGGAGGCTGAGGCAGGAGAATCGCTTAAACCTAGGAGGTGTAGGTTGTGGTGAGCCGAGATCGCGCCATTGCACTCCGTCCTGGGAGACACAGTGAGACTCCATCTCAAAAAATAAAAAATAAATTAAAAATATATTTTTAAAAAGACAATACTGAATGGTACGTGTGGCGTGTTTCCTTCTTTAAAAAATCATGTTATTGGCAGGGCGCGGTGGCTCACACCTGTAATTGCAGCACTCCCAAAATGAAGCACGAGGTCAGGAGTTCGAGACCAGCCTGGTCAATGTGGGGAAACTCCATCTCTACTAGAAATACAAAAATTTAGCCAGGCGTGGTAGCACATGCCTGTAATTCCAGCTACACATGAGGCTGAGGTCACAGGGTCACTTCTGAGCCTGGGAGGTGGAGGCTGCAGTGAGCTTATGGTCATATCACTGCTCTCTAGCCTGGGAGACAGAATCACACCCTGTCTCAAAAAAAAAACGGTAGAAATGTGTTTTCTCTTGTTTCTACAAGCAGCTACTTAACTATTCTCAGTTCCATCTCTGGGGCTGCAAAAGATACAATATTTACCCTGTGGATCGTTCTAGAAAAAGTCTGAAGATTCCCATGAGAGTGGGTGGTGCTGCTCTAGGGAAGCCAGTTAGTAGGCTGGCATTTGCAATCAAAGCTGTTCGCTTAGTCAGTCGGTCACATCATCATATGGTCATTTGAAAGACTTCTTTTTTTTTTTTTTTGAGACAGAGTTTCGCTACTGTTACCCAGGCTGGGGTGCAATGGCGCGATCTCGGCTCATCGCAACCTCCACCTCCTGGGTTCAGGCAATTCTCCTGCCTCAGCCTCCCGAGTAACTGGGACTACAGGCACGCGCCACCATGCCCAGCTAAGTTTTTGTATTTTTAGTAGAGATGGGGTTTCACCATGTTGGCCAGGCTGGTCTCAAACTCCTGACCTCAGGTGATCCACCCACCTCAGCCTCCCAAAGTGCTGGGATGACAGGTGTGAGCCACAGTGCCCTGCTAAAATGACTCTTTTTTTCTTTATTACTTTTTTTTAGACGGAGTCTCACTCTGTCCCCCAGGCTGGAGTGCAGTGGCGTGATGGCGGCTCACTGCAACCTCCGCCTCCCAGGCTCAAGCGGTTCTCCTGCCTCAGCCTCCCGAGTAGTTGTGAGGCCCCAGATGCCTGCAGTAAAGGCTCTCTAACTGGAGAGCTGAGGCGGGCAGATCACAAGGTCAAGAGTTTGAGACCATCCTGGCAAACATGGAGAAACCCCATCTCTACTAAAAATACAAAAAAACTAGCCGGGCATGGTGGTGCTGTGTGCCTGTAATCCCAGCTACTAGTGAGGCTGAGGCAGGAGAATCACTTGAACCCATGAGGTGGAGGCTGCAGTGAGCTGAGATTGCACCACTGTGCTCCAGCCTGGGCAACAGAGCCAGATTCTGTGCCAAAAAAAATAAAAATCAAAGAAGTCTTCAGACATGTCTATGCTTCCCCGAGAGACACAAACCCACCTTCCTGGAAGCCGATCTGCTCTTCCTCTGAGAGTGAGAAGTGCTCCTCTGCCGTCCTCACCACTTCTGGGAGGTCAAAAACGGTGATGTGACATCTGGGGTACAGACAACGGCACTGCTTGGCCAGAGCCCCGGCCCCACCTGCGGCGAAGTGGACAAGGTGTGTTTGAGCCTCAGAGGTGAACCCGTCAGACACTGCTCACCCTCCATCCATCATGGACTCATGAAGAATCCGACCTGGGGCACTGGGTCCGTCCGCTGTGTCTTGGATGGATGGTGACGTGACTGCCTGTGGGCCCCTGAACTCGGCTGGTCTTCCTGACTGCGCTGACCCACATGTACGCTGAGTTACCGTGTGATCTTGTGGCTGGCGCAGCGGCCCAGCCAAGCACGGCCAACAGGTATGAAGGGCGCCGTGGCAAGCCCCAGGTACACGATGTCCAAGGAGGACCACAGACAGCTCCAGCCCGTGCCCCTTCTCGGTGATTTTCTTCCCAAGCTCCTCCCCAGGCAAGGGGGACCTTGACCTCTATCATCTCCCTCTACTCACAGTGACTGACGGCCATCACCTTGAAGAAGCTCCCCACCCTGCAAAGAGCCTTCTACCAGCCAGGAGCTGTTCCGGGGACCCGTGCAGTAAGAGGACCACACAGGGCAGGGGGGTCACGGCCCAGAGCCTGACAGCTTTATGGGCTGGACGAGGTGCTCCAGGTGTGAGCTCAGGTTTGTGGGGTTTGTATTTGAAAAGCATGTCCAGTCAGGGTGCACTGGCTCATTCCTATAATCCCAGCACTTTGGGAGGCCGAGGCGGCGAGATCACCTGAGGTCAGGAGTTCGAGACCAGCCTGGCCAACATGGTGAAACTCCATCTCTACTAAAAATACAAAAAAAAAAAAATCAGCCGGGTTTGCTTGTGGTCCCAGCTATTCGGGAGGCTGAGGCAGGAGAATCACTTGAACCCAGGAGACGGAGGTTGCAGTGAGCCCAGATCACACCACTGCACTCCAGCCTGGGCAACAAGAGCAAAACTCTGTCTCAAAAAAATTCAGGATAATCTTCAAATCATCATATTGTTCTAGGTATTTTTCTGTTTTTGTCAATAAAGGAAAACACAGTTGATTTGCTCCTTTTTCCGGTTAAGGGGAATGTTTGACAGCTATTAGATAGCTACAGAGTCAGAATTAATTTTTGATCTGGCAATATCCTAAATCAGTAAAATAATTGAATCCCAAAAGGCTTTTCCTTGCCTCTGTGAAAGATGAAGATCCTCTCATCTGCTGGAAGGTCTGAAAACACAGCATACTTTGAATTTTTTATAAGAAAACTTCTATTGAATGAAACCAAGCAAAGGCTATTCTCGAAAAAAAAAATGCAGAAAATAAAGGACACTGTGAACACACTCTCTATACAAAACAAGAAACACAGCTCTGAGGTTTTCTGCGTGGAGGATACTTACCACCGAGGTCGCACACGAGCGGGAACAGGGACAGGTCGAACACGGTCAGCACACTTCTCCCGTGCATGCTCCACACCTCCCACAGAGCTTGCATGAACTGCACTTGCTCGCCCTCGGACCTGCTGTGCAGAAGCAAGCTTGTAAAAGGTGGCGAAGATTCAGGCAAGCGTCCAGAGCAGAGATGTGGAGAACCCCCTGCCAAGAACAGAGCTGTGTGCCACGTGGGCGCGCCTGGCAGTCTTGCATAGCTGTGCCACACGGGTGCGCCTGGCAGCCTTGCATAGCTGTGCCACATGGGTGCGCCTGGCAGCTTTGCATTTGACACAGAGCGATAAGTGACTGGGGACGGGGGAACCCTAGGTCAGCCACCAAAATGTACCCAGTTCCGGGAGAACCTGGAGTCCCATCAGAACAGACCAGGGTTCTCTGGAAGCCACCGTCGGTATAGATTTCTATCTGAAGAGGAGTTAGGATGTTTACTGTGGGAAGCAGAAAAGGTCCTTTTTAAACTTTCCTGTCTTGTTAAGGAATAAGTGTGTTGGCCAGGCGCGGTGGCTCACACCTGTAATCCCAGCACTTTGGGAGGCCAAGGCAGGTGAATCACAAGGTCAGGAGATCAAGACCATCCTGGCCAACATGGTGAAATCCCGTCTCTATTAAAAATACAAAAATTAGCTGGGCATGGTGGCACTCGCCTGTAGTCCCAGCTGCGTTGGAGAGGCTGAGGCAGGAGAATTGCCTGAACCCAGGAGGCGGAGGTTGCAGTGAGCCGAGATCACGCCATTGCACTCCAGCCTGGGTAACAAGAGCGAAACTCCGTCTCAAAAAAGAAAAAATAATCATCATCATAACTGTGCTGATAACTCTGTGAAGCCCCATCCTATGTAGCTGTTAGAAACGCGGAGCTCACAGGCATGTAGTACATTCTACGTCCTTGTACTTTCACCGAGATATCAGAGCTGGACGTGCTCACAGGCGGGTCCCAGCTCTCCGTGGCTTTCGCCTGTTTAGAAAAATTTTAAGTTGTCAGCCAGTTGGGTTTTAGTTTAGATGCTGAGGTCTGGCTCCGGCCCATGGAGTTCAGACACGGCAGGAAGGACGACCCCACGTGCGTCAGGGATACATGCGTGTGTTTTCCTTTGTTCATTGTACTCTCGTGGCACGATGGCTAGTGAGGGTCCCCTCCCTGCTGCCCGGGAAGTAAAAACTGCGTTGCTGAGGAATCCTCTGTCTCAGGGCTGATGTTTCTTTGCCACGCCGAGCGTCTATTTCCAACATTTAAGAAGAAAGTCAATAATATGTCCCCCCACCGACCCACCCACAGAGGTCAGCTCCAGAGGACGAATCCGGGAAGTGGGGGAGTCTTCACATCCTGGGGCATGTGTCCCAGAAAGTGGGAATTCAGGTTGGAGAGAGGAGGTTAGAGAAAAGGCAGAATGGCCAGGCAAGGTGGCTCACACCTGTAATCCCAGCACTTTGGGAGGCTGCGGCGGGCAGATCACCTGAGGTCAGGAGTTCAAGACAAGCCTGGCCAACATGGTGAAACCCCATCTCTACTAAAAAGAACAATAATTAGCTGGATGTGGTGCTGTGCACCTGTTGTCCCAGCTACTTGGGAGGCTGAGGCAGGAGAATCGGTTGAACCCAGGAGGCAGAGGTTGCAGTGAGCTGAGATCACACCATTGCACTCCAGCCTGGGTGACAGAGCGACACTTCATCTAAAAAAAAAAAGAGAGAGAGAGAGACAGAAAAGGCAGAAATTAGGAATGAAGGAAAGTGACATGGAGGCAGGAAGGATGGGTGGACACAGAGGCGGACAGAGCTGTGGTGTCGGGGGGGTCTCCTCCTTCTCCTCCCCAGAGCTCCTGGGACTGCTGACCTCGTGGTCCACCCACCTCAGCCTCTCAAAGTGCTGGGATTACAGGCATGAACCATCACTCCCGGCCTTTTTTTTTTTTTTTTAAACGGAGTCTTGCTAAGTCTCCAGGCTGGAGTGCAGTGGTGCTGTATCAACTCACTGCAACCTCAGACTCCCATGTTTAAGTGGGTCTCCAGCCTGATCCTCCTGAGTAGCTGGGATTACAGGCACTCACCACCACGCCCAGCTAATTTTTGTATTTTTAGTATAGATGGGGTTTCTCCAGGTTGGCCTGGCTGGTCTCAAACTCCTGACCTCAGGTGATCCACCCACCTTGGCCTCCCAAAGTGCTGGGATTACAGGCGTGAGACCCCTCACCCGGCCAAATAAACACATGTGAGTTGGTTTTGAAGTGACGACGTTACCTGTAGATGGCTGTAAAAAGCTCTTCTGCGGGAACTCCGAAGGTCCGCAGATATTGGTTCTTGCCTTCTCTAAGAAAAGAGAGAAAACAGTGCTGCAATGAGCATTCGTGTGCATGTGTCCTTATAGTAGAACAATTTATAATCCCCTGGATATATACCCAGTCATGGGATTGCTGGGTCAAATGGAATTTCTATTTCTAGGTCCTTGACGAATCGCCACACCGTCTTCCACAATGGTTGAACTAATTTACACTCCCACCAGCAGTGTAAAAGTGTTCCTATTTCTCCACATCCTCTCCAGCATCTGTTGTGTCCAGATTTTTTAATGATCGCCATTCTAACTGGCATGAGATGGTATCTCAATGTGGTTTTGATGTCCATTTTTCATTGATGATAGACTGGACAGGGAAAATGTGGCACATATACACCATGGAATATTATGCAGTCATAAAAAATGATGACTTCATGTTCTTTGCAGGGACATGGATGAACCTGGAAACCATCATTCTCAGCAAACTGACCCAAGAACAGAGAACCAAACACCACGTTCTCACTCATAGGTGGGTGTTGAACAATGAGAACACATGGACACAGGGAGGGGAGCATCACACACTGGGGTCTGTTGGAGAGAAATAGGGGACGGACAGTGCGGGATGAGGAGTTCGGGAGAGATAGCATGGGTAGAAATGCCAGATAAAGGTGAAGGGGAGGAAGGCAGCAAATCACACTGCCACGTGTGTACCTATGCAACTATCTTGCATGTTCTTCACCTGTACCCCAAAACCTAAAATGCAATTAAAAAATTAAAAAGAAAAGAAAAGGAAAAGAAAAGAGAGAAAAGGCTGTTGCCTGTTTCAATCTCAAGACGAACTCTGATCTTTTTCTTCCTTGCCCAAATTCCTATCTAAGGGGCCTGTGGAGTCACCCCTTATAAACCATAACGTCTCATAAAATGGATTTTATTTTATTTTATTTTAGAGACAGAGTCTCACTCTGTCACCCAGACTGGAGTGCAATGGTGCAATCTCAGCTCTCCACAACCTCCGCCTCCCGGGTTCAAGTGATTCTCCTGCCTCAGCCTCCTGAGTAGCTGGGATTACAGGCATCCACCACCACACCCCAGTAATTTTTGTATTTTTAGTAGAGACGGGGTTTCACCAAGTTGGCCAGGCTGGTCTTGAACTCCTGACCTCACGCAATCCACCCGCCTCGGCCTCCCAAACTCCTGGGATATCAAGTGTGAGTCACTGCACCAGGCCTACCATTACTTTTAATGGCAAAAAAAAAAAAAAAAAAAAAAAAGCAATTACATTGTTTGTTTGTTTTTGAGATGGAGTCTCATTCTGTCTCCCAGGCTGGAGTGCAGTGGTGAGATCTTGGCTCACTGCAACCTCCACCTCCCGAATTCAAGTGATTCTCTTGCCTCAGCCTCCCGAGTAGTTGGGATTATAGGTCCCCACCACCGTGCCAGGCTGATTTTTGTATTTTTGGTACAGTGTTTCACTATGTTGCCCAAGCTAGTCTCAAACTCCTGACCTCTGGTAATCCACCCACCTCAACCTCCCAAAGTGCTGGAATTACAGACGTGAGCCACTGCACGTGGCGTAAAAACTCAACTACCTGTGCACCAGCCTAGTACAATTCAAGCCACCGCTGTTGCTCTCCACCCCTGTTTTGAATCCTCTTCCTTCTCTTCCTTTCTCCTTCTGCCAAAGCAGCACGAATGACTTTCACCTGGGGGCACATCCCTGCACATCCCAGCATAAACGGGTGAGCTCTGTCAGCCAATACCAAGTGATTTCTGCCACCTGCTCTGGGTGAACAATTCTAGCAAGGTCATGTTTGCTCCTGCAGGAAACCTGCCATTTTACCTCCTCCAGGCGCTCACCTGCAATGCCAGCAATTTGGGAGGCCAAGGCAGGCAGATCACTTGAGGTCAGGAGTTTGAGACCAGCGTAGCCAAAATGGCAAAACCTCTCTTTAGTAAAAATACAAAAGTTAGCTGGGTGTGGTGGCAGGTGCCTGTAATCCTAGCTACTCAGGAGGCCAAGACGAGAGAATCTGTCTTTTTTTTTTTTTTTTCTCTGAGACAGAGTTTCGCTCTTTTTGCACAAGCTGGAGTGCAATGGCGTGATCTCGGCTCACTGCAACCTCCACCTCGCAGATTCAAGCGATTCTCCTGTCTCACCCTCCCAAGTAGCTGGGATTACAGGCATGCACCACCACGCCTGGCTAATTTTTGTATTTTTACTAGAGACGGGGTTTCTCCACGTTAGTCACACTGGTCTCGAACTCCCCGCCTCGGGTGATCCATCCGCCTCAGCCTCCCAAAGTGCTGGGATTACAGGCGTGAGCCATCGCACCTGGCCAGGAGAACCTCTTGAACCCAGGAGGTGGAGGTTGCAGTGAGCCCCTTCACGAGCCCCCCAGGGGGAGTCCTGAGACTCGGTCACTGCCTGGATACAATCCCTACCTCACAGCCTGTGCCAGGTGGCCCCAGCAATGGTAAGTGGTCCTGGCCATGTACAGCAGCATACTGCACTGTGAGGTCGGGCTGACCCTGCTCAGGTAGACTCTGGACATCTCCGTGTTCCCATAGAAAGCTGAAAAACACACAAAGAAAATGGAGAAAAAGCAGTGAGATTCCAAGTCCCTGCTAGGCGGACGCTCCCCAGCACGCCAGCACGGAGACTTCCACATAATCTTCACCTGGGAGCGCCGACGCCCCTACCTACATCCAGGGGCTTCTACGGAAGGCACAAAGGGGACCCCGGGCAGCTGGCACCCCAAGTGGGTTCAGCTTCTACAAATCCCATTGAGAGTTTGGGTGGAGCGAGAACAAACGAAGATGAGCCATAAGAGAAAACATACATTATATTCCACAGAACATTTAAAATAATTTAGTGACCCCAGGCACAGTGGCTCACACCTGTCATCCCACCCCTTTGGGAGGGCGAGGCGGACAGATCACTTGAGGTCAGGAGTTCGAGACCAGGCTGGCCAACATGGCAAAACCCCGTCTCTACTAAAAATACAAATATTAGCCAGGCGTGGTGGTACATGCCTGTAGTGTCAGCTTCTCGGGAGGCTGAGGCAGGAGAATCATTTGAGTCCAGGAGGTGGAGACTGCACAGTGACCCGAGATCATGCCACTGCCCTCCAGCCTGGGTGACAGAGTAAGACTCCATCCCCCTCCCCCTGCCAAAAAAAAAAAAAGATATACTAGAGAAAGAAGTCAAATAGTCAAATATGCATTTCGGCCAGGTGAGGTGGCTCATGCCTGTAATCCCAGCCACTTTAGATTCTGGGGCAGGAAAATCACTTGAACCCGGGAGGCAGAGGTTGCAGTGAGCCGAGATTGTGCCATTGCACTCCAGCCTAGGCAACAAGACTGAAACGTATCTCACAAAAAAAATAAAAATAAACAAAATATCCAGCCAACACTATCATTCACATAAATGGCGGTTTTTTGTTCTTGATTTTTCTTTTTTTCTTTTTTTTTTTTTGAGACAGAGTTTCGCTCTTGTTATACAGGTTGGAGTGCAATGGCGCGATCTCAGCTCACCGCAACCTCTGCCTCCTGGGTTCAGGCAATTCTCCTGCCTCAGCCTCCCGAGTAGCTGGGACTACAGGTGTGCACCACCATGCCCAGCTATTTTTTTGTATTTTTAGTAGAGACGGGGTTTCACCATGTTGACCAGGATGGTCTCGATCTCTTGACCTCATGATCCACTCGCCTCAGACTCCCAAAGTGCTGGGATTACAGGCTTGAGCCACCGCGCCCGGCCCTTGATTTTTCTTTTGACACAGGGTCTTCCTCTGTTGCCGAGGCTGGAGTGTAGTGGTGTGATCACAGCTCTCTGAAGCCTCGAACCCCTGGGCTCAGGCGATCCTCCCGCCTCAGCCTTTTGCTGAGGTAGTTAGGACCACAGGCTCGTGCCGCATGCCTGGCTAAATCTGTATTTTTTGTACAGATGGGATCTTGCTACGTTGCCCTGGCTCATCTTGAACTCCTGGGCTCAAGCAATCCTCCTGCCTCAGCCTTGAGAGTAGGTGGAACCACACTTGTGTACCACCACCCCCAGTTAATGTTTGTATTTTTCTTTTCTTGAGATAGAGTCTTGTTCTGTCACCCAGGCTGCAGTGATGCGATCTCTGCTCACTGCAACCTCCACCTCCCAGGTTTAAGCAATTGTCTGCCTCAGCCTACTGAGTAGCTGGGATTACAGGCGCCCACCACCACGCCCAGCTAATTTTTGTATTTTTATTAGAGACAGGGTTTCACCATATTGACCAGGATGGCCTCTATCTCCTGAGTTCAAGTGATTCCCCTGCCTCAGCCTCCCAACTAGCTGGGATTACAGACTCATGCCATCATGCCTGGATAATTTTTTTTTTTTTTTTTTTTTTTGTGTTTTGGTATAGATGGGGTTTCACCATGTTGACCAGGATGGTCTCAATTTCCTGACATCGCGATCTGCCTGCTTCGACCTCACAAAATGAAGTATGAGCCACCATTCCCGGCCAGTTTTTGTATTTTTTTAATTAGAGAAGGGATTTCACTGTGTTGGCCAGGCTGGTCTCAAACTGCTGACCCCAGGTGATCCGCCCACCTCGGACTCCCAAAGTGCTGGTAGGCACCGCTCCCGGCCTGGTCTCGCTTTTTACAGAACACGTGGGACGCCAAGGGTGCCCACTTACAAGGCCTCCTCCAAAGCGCCCATGTCCTCATCTTGTCCTCCCCTCATCTCCAACTTCAGCAGCTTCAGGGACACGCAGGAGTCCAGCAGGCACTCCATGGCGTGGGAGCTGGCTCCCACTGCTGCAGCCACGGCCAGGGGCCCTGGGGCCTCTGCGAGGAGGTCAAACACTCCCAGCTCACAGGCAACAAAGAGAACCTTCCGGAAGGACAGAAATAAAAGGTCAGCACTCAGCCTCTTGGGAACCAGAGTTGTAGAAACACACACCATGTCGGGCTGGGGAGGGAGGCGTTTTTAATTTTTATTTTTGTTTATTTATTTTTTAAATTGCATTTTATGTTTTGGGGTACATGTGCAGAACATGCAAGACATTTGCATAGGTACACACATGGCAGTGTGTTTTGCTGCCTTCCTCCCCTTCACCCATATTTGGCATTTCTCCCCAGGCTATCCCTCCCCAGGCTATCCCTCCCCAGCTCCCCGCTTCCCCAGGCTATCCCTCCCCAGCTCCCCCCCTCCCCAGGCTATCTCTCCCCAGGCTATCCCTCCCCAGGCTATCCCTCCCCAGCTCCCCCCCTCCCCAGGCTATCCCTCCCCAGATCCCCCCCCTCAGCTCCCCTCCCTCCCCCCGTCCCTTGTTTATTTTTGAGACATAGTCAAATGAGACTACACCACTATGGAAAACAGGCACTTTTATTTTTACTCATCTTTTAAAAATCATTGATTTTTGGGGGGGATGGAGTCTCACTCTGTCCCCCAGGCTGGAGTGCAGTGGCGTGATCTCGGCTCAGCGTAACCTCCACCTCCCGGGTTCAAGCAACACTTTTGCCTCAGCCTCCAGAGTATCGGGGATTACAGGCACACACCACCATGCCCTTCTAGTTTTGGTATTTTTAGTGGAGATGGGCTTTCTCACCATACTGGCCAGGCTGGTCTCGAACTCCTGACCTCAGGTGATCCACACACCTCAGCCTCCCAAAGTGCTGGGATTATAGGCATGAGGCACTGTGCCCGGCCTGGATGCAATTCTTAGCACCTGATAAGACTTGAGTCTGTATAACAAGCCTATTTTCAACCTTATGATCAGTTTATCAAGATAGTAAATGCTTTTTCTTTTTTTTGATGGAGTGTCGCTCTTGTAGCCCAGGCTGGAGTGCAATGGCCCAATCTCAGCTCACCTCAACCTCCACCTCCTGGGTTCAAGTGATTCTCCTGTGTCAGCCTCCTGAGTAGCTGAGATTACAGACATGCATCACCACACTCAGCTGATTTTGTATTTTTATTTATTTGTTTTTTTGAGACAGAGTTTCACTCTTGTTGCCCAGGCTGGAGTGCAATGGCGTGATCTCGGCTCACCGCAGCCTCCACCTCCTGGGTTCAAGCAATTCTCCTGCCTCAGCCTCCTGAGTAGCTGGGACTACAGACGCGCACCACCATGCCCAGCTAATTTTTGTATTTTTAGTAGGGACGGGGTTTCACCATGTTGACCGGGATGGTCTCGATCTCTTGACCTCGTGATCCACCCTCCTCAGCCTCCCAAAGTGCTGAGATTACAGGCGTGAGCCACCGCGCCCGGCTTGATTTTGTATTTTTGCCGGGGTTTCTCTATGTTAGTCAGGCTGGTCTCGAACTCCCAGCCTCAAGTAATCTGCCCGCCTTGGCCTCCCAACATGCTGGGATTACAGGCGTGAACCACAGCACCCAGAAGATTCTTTTAATTTCAATTGAATTTTCATATCTAGCTGTAGGGTACATGTACAGTGTGTGCAGGTTTGTTACATTTGTAAAGGTGTGCCGTGGTGGTTTGCCACTCAGATCAATTAATCACCTAGGTATCAAGCCCAGCATGTATTAGCTTTTTTTCTGATGCTCTCCCACCTCCTACCCCCGCAAACGGGTCCAGTGTGTGATGTTCCCCTCCCTGTGGCCATGTGTTCTCATTCTTCAACTCCCGCTTATCAGTGAGAACATGTGGTATTTGGTTTTCTGCTCCTGTGTTATTTGCTGGGGATAATGGCTTCCAGCTCCATCTGTGTTCCTGCAAACAACATGATCTCGTTCCTTTTCATGGGTGTATAGTATTTCACAATGTATATCTACCACATTTTCTCTCTCCAATCTATCCTTGATGGGCATTTGGGTGGTGACCATTGTTCCTTCTGTCTTTATAAATTTGTTTATTCTAGATTAAACTGTGACATGTATATTGCAGTTTATATGTATACAAATTATACATATATAATATAATAATGTAATATATATTATATAGATAAAATAGTATATATAAAATATGTGGTATCATGTGCACTGAAGTGACTTTTCTCCCAAGATTTGGAACCCACGTGTGTGTGATGTTCCCCTCCCTCTGTCCCTATGTTCTCACTGTTCAACACCCACTTATGAGTGAGAACATGTGGTGTTTGGTTTTCTGTCCTTGTGTGAGTTTGCTTAGAATGATGGTTTCCAGCTTCATCCCTGTCCCTGCAAAGGACGTGAACTCATCCTTTTTCATGGCTGCATAGTATTCCATGGTGTCTATGTGGCACATTTTCTTTATCTAGTCTATCACTGATGGGAATTTCTTAGGGGAGGAATAGCAGGAGGTGGGGGGCTAGGGGAGGATTAGCAGCGGATGGGGGATTGGTGAGGGAGAGCATTAGGAGCAACACCTAACAGAGATGATGGGGGGACGGATGCAGCAAACCAGCATGGCATGTGTGTACCTATTAACAGTCCTGTATGATCTGCACATGGACCCCAGAACTTAAAGTATTATTAATAATTTTTTTTTAAAGAAAGAACCCAACAAACCACCCCCCTGAACACCACTGTGAACCACTGGCTGGCTTTGAACCAGCGGTCAGCAGCCCCAGCGGGCCGCAGGTGTTCAAACGAGGCAAAGGCAGGCTGCTGTTAGCACACTTACTGTTCAACAGGAAAGGAAACTTCAAAAAGGAACTTTTCTACTTCCCACAATGTCTCAGGTCTCCCCAAAGTGTATAAAACCAAGCCACGCCCCGACCACCTTGGGGATATGGTCTCAGGACCCCCTGAGGCTGTGTCACGGGTGCACACCTTTAACGTGGGCTAATAAACCTGCTAAAATGATTGACACTCGTCATTTTTCCTGATCGATGCTCCCAATAGTGGAACATGAGTGTGATGAACGGAAGTCTATCCCCTCCTCCACGTCGCACACAGGATAGCTGTGGGAAGCACAAAGGTTCCTTCTTAAAGTTTCCTTTCTTGTTAAAGAATAAGTGTGCTAATAACTCTCTGTGAAGCCCCATCCTATGTGGCTGTTAGACACTCGAGCTCACAGGCACGTAGGACATTCTACGTCCTTGTACTTTCACTGAGATACCAGAGCTGGACGTGCTCACAGGTGGGTCCCAGCTCTCCGTGGCTTTCACCTGTTTAGAAAAGTTTTAAGTTTTCAGCCAGTCGGGTTTTAGTTTAGATGGTGAGGTCTGGCTCCGGCCCATGGAGCTCAGACACGGCAGGAAGGACGACCCCACATGTGTCAGGGATACATGTGTGTGTTTTCCTTGGTTCATTGTACTCTCATGGCACGATGGCCAGCGAGGGTCCCCTTCCTGCAGCCCTGGACGTAAAAACTGCATTGCTAAGGGATTCTTTGTCTCGGTGCTGATGTTTCTTTGTAGCACCGAGTCTGTGTCCAGCATCTATTTGCAGAAATGTCCTACCTGTGACACCATGAAGCCGTTTGCGTAGTCAGTGAGGAGGCGATAGCAGTGATCCTCCGAGGAACTCATGTTCTCTGCAATCCAGCAGTGGCGTCCGGAGTCCCCGCAATGTTTGCTTCAAGGCGCACGGAGCCTGCTACCAAGCTGGTAACAGCCTGCCAGCCACCTGCTCACGGAGGCTGCCTGAAGCTCCCTGACAGCTGCCCAGTAATGAAACAAACACAGATCGCTCCAGAAATTTCCATTAAGCTTATTAGTGGATCAGGAAGTGTGTGGGAATTCCCTGGCTTCTTGCGTACGTTTCTGCAGCCCTAAATAATCTTCATGAATCCTTGAATCATCGGGTGGAGAACTCATCCCAAACCAATATGCTCAGTGGTCATGAGCCCAAAGTAATCGTCTTAGGGATTGAACAGGTTCTGTGTTCATTTGTGGGGCTCCTGTGAATTTCCACTAACTGGCTGGCTCAAAACCCAGTTCTCCCACAGTTCCAGAGGCTGGAAGACCAATATCAAAATGTCAGCAGCCCAGCCTGGGAAACATATTGAGACCCATTCTTTTTTTTGAGACAGAACCTCACTCTGTCACCCCAGGCTGGAGTGCAATGGCAAGATCTCCGTTCACTGCAACCTCCATTTCCTGGGTTCAAGCAATTCTCCTGCCTCAGCCTCCCGGATAGCTGGGATTACAGGCATGTACCACCCCGCCCAGCCATTTTTCAGGTTTTTAGTAGAGATAGGATTTCACCATGTTGGTCTCAAACTCCTGACCTCAAGTGATCCATCTGCCTCGTCCTCCCAAAGTGCCGGGATTACAGGTGTGAGCCACCGCGCCTGGCTAATTTTTCAATTCTTTGAACATATGGGGGTCTCACTACATTGCCAAGGCTGGTCTCAAACGCCTGACCTCAGGGGACCCTCCCACTGGACGGTTCAGTGGCTTATATTCCCAGCACTTTTGGAGACCGAGGCGGGTGAATCACCTGAGGCCAGGAGTTCAAGACCAGCCTGGTCAACATGGCAAAACCCCATCTCTACATAAAATACAAAAAGATTAGCAGGGCATGATGGTGCACAGCTAGGATTCCAGCTACTCGGGAGACTGAAGTAGGAGAATCGCTAGAACTCGGGAGGCGGGGGTTGCAGTGAGCAGAGATTGCGTCACTGCACTCCAGCCTGGTTGACAGAGTGAGACTCTGCCTCAAAAAAAAAAAAAAAAAAATCGTCCCACTTCAGCCTAGACATCTTGCAACTTTTATTTGGACAATTAAAATGCCTGCATATAATTAAAATGTGACCGTGGCAGGTCTCTGCCCCATTTCTGAGGGCACGTGGTGTGTGTGGGGGGTGAAGAAAAGGTTCATAGTATGAGCTCAGCTCCATCTTGTCAAGTATGCCTGTTTGTGTTGTGGTTGGATAGAGAGTGGAGTGTAATATACCCAGAGTGATTTTCTAGGGGAAGGATATAAGTACAGGCTTGGCCGCACACGGTGGCTCAAGCCTGTCATCCCAGCAATGTAAGAGGCTGAGGTGGGCAGATCACCTGAGGTTGGGAGTTCAAGACCAGCCTGGGCAACATGGCGTAACCCTTTCTCTACTAAAAGTACAAAAATTAGCCTGGTGTAGTGGCACGTGTTGTAATCCCAGCACTTTGGGAGGCTGAGGCGGGTGGATCAGTTAAAGTCAGGAGTTCGAGACAAGCCTGGGCAACATGATGAAAACCTATCTCTACTAAAAATACAAAAATTAGCTGGACATGGTGGCTGTCCCCTGTAATCTGAGGTACTTGGGAGGCTGAGGCAGGAGAGTCTTTTGAACCCAGGAGGCAGAGGTTGCAGTGAGCCAAGATCGCACCACTGCAAAAATTAGCCGGGCGTGGTGGCTCACATCTGTCATCCCAGCACTTTGGGAGGCCAAGGCAGGAGGATCACTTGAGGTCAGGAGATGGAGACCAACCTGGTTAACATGGTGAAACCCCATCTCTACTAAAAATACAAAAATTAGCCGGGCGTGGTGGCGTGTGCCAATAATCTTAGCTACTCAGGAGGCTGAAGCAGGAGAATCATTTGAACCCGGGAGGCGGAGGTTGCAGTGAGCAGAGATCGCAGCAGCCTGGGCAACAGAGTGAGACTCTGTCTCCAAAATAACTAAATAATAAATAAAAATAAATAATAAATTAGCATGTCCTTGAAGTTTAGGGCAATGAAGCATCCTCGGGGGCACTTTACCAGGGGACAGAAGGGGCTGGCCTCTGATCCCATGTGCTTAATGTAACCCCACAGTGACTCAGGAGATCAAGTCCCTGACTGCTGCTGTCGGATTTCGCAGGGATCTCAGTTAAGGCGATTGCCTTAGGGATTGAGAAGGGCTGCGAACACAGTCGTGTCGGAGGGGAGCCTTTTCCAAAGCTCACGAACAGACACCCTTCAAAAGAAGACATGCACATGGCTTGGAGGCATGTCTATCAGTCCGTTTTCCTGCTATTGATAAACACATCCCCAAGACTGTGTCATTTATAAAGAAAACAGACTTTAGCCAGGCGCGGTGGCTCACACCTGTCATCCCAGCACTTTGGGAGGCCGAGGCGGCAGATCATCAGGTCAGGAGTTCAAGACCAGCCTGACCAACATGGTGAAACCCCTTCTCTACCAAAAATTAAAAAAAAAAAATTAGGCACAGTGTCTCACACCTATAATCCCAGCTACTTGGGAGGCTGAGGCTGCAGAATCTCTTGAATTCGGGAGGCGGAGGTTGCAGTGAGCCAGGATCGTGCCACTGCAGTCCAGCCTGTTCAACAAGAACAAAACTCCATCTCAAAACAAAAAGAGAGAAAAAAAGATTTAATGGACTCACAGTTCCACATGGCCGGGGAGGCCACGCAATCATGTTGGAAGTCAAGGAGGATGAAAGGCATGTCTTATATGGCGGTAGGCAAGGAAGTGTGTGCAGGGGAACTGCCCTTTATAAAATCATCAGATCTCAGCTGGGCTAGGGCTCACATGTGTAATCCCAGCACTTTAAGAGGCTGAGGCGGGTGGATTGCCTGAGGTCATGAGCTCGAGACCAGCCTGGCCAACATGGAGAAACACCATCTCTACTAAAAATACAAAAAATTAGCCCAGCATGGTGGCAGACGCCTGTAATCCCAGCTAATCAGGAGACTGAAGCAGGAGAATCGTTTGAACGCGAGAGACGGAGGTTGCAGTGAGCTGAGATGGCGCCATTGCACTCCAGCCTGGGTAACAAGAGCGAAACTCCGTCTCAAAAAATAAATAAATAAAACCATCAGATCCCATGACACTATTTCAGTATCATGAGAATAGCACAGAAAAGGCCAGCCCTCCCACAGGATTCAATTACCTCTCACATGGGAATTGTGGGAGTTACAATTCAACATGAGTTTTGGGTGGGGACGCAGCCTGACCATGTAACATATGAAACAAGGGCCAGCGTCACTGATCATCAGGGACACCCACATCAAAACCAGACCAAGGCCGGTCGCGGTGCCTCACACCTGTCATCCCAGCGTTTCGGGAGGCCAAGGCGGGCGGATCACCTGAGGTGGAGAGTTCGAGACCAGCCTGGGCCACGTGGTGAAACCCTGTCTCTACTAAAAATACAAAGATTAGCCGGGTGTGGTGGAGCGCACCTGTAATCCCAGCACTTTGGGAGGCTGAAGCGGGTGAATCACCTGAGGTCTCAAGTTCAAGACCAGCCTGACTGACATGGAGAAAGCCCATCTCCACTAAAACAGATGCAAAATTAGCTGGCCATGATGGTGGGTGCCTGTAATCCCAGCTACTCCAGAGGCTGAGGCAGGAGACTCGCTTGAACCCGGGAGGCGGAGTTTGCGGTGAGCCGAGATCACACCATTGCACTCCAGTCTGGGCAACAAGAGCAAAACTCGGTCAGGAAAAAAAACACCACCACATTTTCCTGGTCCCTGTCTCCTGTGAGTATAACTCGGTTAGACAGCAGCTGTATAGTATGTGTTTTTGTTCGTATTTTACAGGAAGTTTTGGGACACACGTGTCAGGACAGGTACACACGTGCCATGGGGGTTGGAGCCACCAACCCATCATCCAGGTTTTAAGCCCCACGTGCTAGAAGGTGATGGGCACTGTGGACAGAAGGGGATGGGAGGGAGAGCTGAATTGTGGGGTGGAGGGGGTTGGGGGAGTCCTTGAGATCTGAGGCAGCACAGAGTGGTGGTGCTCCCCAGAAACAGCAGCAGGAGCTGCAGGTACCCTGCAGTACCAGCCCTGCCTCCAGGCTGTTCAAAGAAGGGCTGTGAACCCCATGAGGCTAGAGTATCTGGAAAGACGGAGGGAGGACAGGGGCAGTGGACAGAAGAGACTGTAGCATTAAACCCTCAGGGGCATTGCAGGAACCCCTCCCCCCACAACCTTGGGACACGGTCTGGCAGAAGGGTGTCGGGAGGGGTATTCGTGGCCTGCACACAGTCAGCAGCTGGCATTTGGGGACGAGATGTGGCGGACACAGAGTCGGCCAGAAAGTCTAGGAGGTTCTGTACCACTCAGGTGAGTGTAACACTCAGGAAGCTGGGCTGGGGTAGGACGGGGTGTCCTGGAGTCTTGGCTGGGGTAGGACGGGGTGTCCCGGAGTCTGGGCTGGAGGAGATACGGGGTGACCTGGAGTCTGAACTGGAGGAGGGACAGGGCGTCCCAGAGTCTTGGCTGGGGTAGGACGGGGTGTCCTGGAGTCTTGGCTGGAGGAGGGATGGGGTGACCCAGAGTCTGGACTGGAGGAGGGACGGGGTGTCCTGGAGTCTTGGCTGGGGTAAGACGGGTGTCCTGGAGTCTGGGCTGGAGGAGGGATGGGGTGACCTGGAGTCTTGGCTGGGGCAGTGACAGGGTAACCTAGAATCTTGGCTGGGGCAAGGACGGTGTGTCCAGGAGTCTTGGCTGGAGGAGGGATGGGGTGTCCCGGAGTCTGGGCTGGAGGAGGGACGGGGTGACCTGGAATCTTGGCTGGGGGACGGACGGCATATCCTGGAGTCTTGGCTAGGGAAGTGATGGGGTGACCTGGAATCTTGGCTGGGGGAAGGACGGGGTGTCCTGGAGTCTTGGCCGGGGGAGGGACAGGGTGTCCTGAGTCCTGGCTGGAGGAAGGATGGGGTGTCCTGGAGTCTTGGCTGGGGGAGGGACGGGGTGTCCTGAGTCCTGGCTGG